AGGCCGATTTTAAAATATATATGGAAATGCAAATGACCTCAAATAGCCAAAACAATTTTTAAAATCACATCTAAAGGAGAAAGACATCCCTGAGGTCAAGACTTCCAATATAGCTACAGTATTCAAAACACAGAGGCCCTAATAACGATCAATGAGACAGAATAGAATCCAGAAAAAGATTCAAACATAAACAAGCAGCTGATTTTCAGTAACAGTGTCAAGGACGTCAAATGAGAAAAGTTTTTCCAACAAATATTGTTCCAACAACAGGTGGAACAATCTATGTGGAAGAGAATCAATTTTCACTCCATAATTCACATCACAATTTAAAATGAATCAAAGACCTAAATGTAAGAAGTAAAGCTTCTAGAAGAAAGCACAGAAACAATCTTTGTAATCTTGGCATAATCAGAGATAGTACCATAAAAGGAAAATGACTTATTAGACTTCAGCATAATTATATATTAAAGTCAACATTAAGGAAAAAGTCAGGCCAGGTACAGTGGCTCATGTCTTAATCCTAGCATTGTGGGAAGCTGAGGTGGGAGGATCACTTGACGCCAGGTATTCTAGGCCAGCCTGGGAAACATAGTGAGGCCCTGTCTCTAGAAGAAACAAACAAACAAAAACCCTAAAAAAATTAGCCAGGTGTGGTAGCCTGTAGTCCCAGGTACTCAGGAGGTTGAAGCAGGAGGATTGCTTGAGCTTAGGAGCTTGAGGTTACAGTGAGTTATAATCATTCCACTGTGTACTTCAGACAGAGTGACACTCTGTGTCTTTTAAAAATAAAAATAATTTTTAAAAAAGAATGAAAAAAAAAAAAGTCGTGGTATGGGAAAGTAATTCCCAATACATATATCAAAGGACTTCTACCTGAAATAGTTTGAAAAATCCTTATAACTAAATTATTAAAAGAAAGTTTTTTTAAGCAAACAAAAAACCTGAACAGATGCTTCACAAAAAAAAAGATAAACAAATGAGCAATGAAACAAGAAAAGGTGCTCAACACTATTAAATCAGGAAAGTCCAATAAAACATCAGATTAAAATGGATAAAATTTTTTAAAACTGGCAATACCAAGTCTTGGTGAAGATGCTAAAGACGTATAGTTATAACACACTACTGATGGGAATCTAAATTAGAACCACTGTAGAAACCTGTTTGACAGTTTCTGAGAGAGCTTCCTACCTACAAACAATCCTGCCACTCCAGGTATTTACTGAGACAAATGAAGATTAATGTCAACACAAAGACTCATACAAAAATGTTGAAAAACCTTTATTTATAATGGCTAAAGCTTATAAACAACCAGAATGTTCCCAGCCAGGTGAAAGGATATGAAACAATTGTGAATATGCATATCCATACAATGGAATACTTACCAATAAAAAAGGGATGAGCCATCCATACATGAAGCAACATAAATGGCTCTCAAAATCCTTATGCTGAAAGAAGTCATGCAATATGATACCATTCCTATAACGTTCTATGAAATGCTAACTACTCTAAAATGATTTTTTTAAAAGCCCATCCAAAACATAATATATCAATGGTTATCTGAGGCTGGAAGCAGAAAATGATTTTTGTTGGAAACGTTCTGTATCTTGACTATCATATAGTTTTATAAGCCTATCATATAGTTTTATAAGCCTATCATATAGGTTTCTAAGCCTATCATATAGGTTTCTAAAAACCTATCATGTAGGTTTATATATCTGAAAAGACTCTACAAATTAGAACCCCATATAGGTTTATAAAAACCTATCACATAGGTTTACATATCTGAAAAGACTCTACAAATTAGAACCCCACATTAGAGTTCAACACACTCTAATGTGGCCATATAGCCTATTTCATTTAATTTCCATACTGCCCTAGGAAGTATATATTAATTACTCACAGGTTTCTTCTAAACTGATAAATGCCTAACCTTGTTTTGAATCTATGCTATGTGCTAAGAAAACAACAAATGCTTCCCACACAACAACGTATATATCTTTTTAACTTATTACTTAACACAGCTCAACTCTTCTATTACTCCAAGTAAGTAAAAAAATTCCAGTAACTTCTCACACATGATATTTTCATTCATTTCACTTTTCATTAGGAAAGCGCTTGCAACTACAGTTCTTGGAGTTAGTACATTAGATGTGTTGAACATCCAAGCAAGAGTATTTAAATATAAGTACATTAAATAAATAGTTTCATTTTTCAAACTGCAATTACTTTAGAAAATTTTTGAGCTATCAGTTCTTTTTGTTTTGAGGGAGGATCCTGCTCTGTTGCCCAGGTTGGCGTGAAGTACAAAAATTAAAACAGCACACAACTTTTCAATTCATCACAAAATATGTGCACATAACCTAAGACACCTGAGCCATATTAGGCTAGTCTAGACAGGAAGAGTTTCAGTTTCATGAAAATAAAAAATTGTACAACAAAAAAATCTCTGGGAATGCTAGCAAAACCTTCGGAAGGAGCTTGCCACAAAGAACCATGGGAATCCGGGCGCAGTGGCTCACGCTTGTAATCCTAGCACTTTGGGAGGCCGAGGCGGGTGGATCACGAGGTCAAGAGATAGAGACCATCCTGGTCAACATGGTGAAACCTCGTCTCTACTAAAAATACAAAAAATCAGCTGGGCATGGTGGCGCGTGCCTATAATCGCAGCTACTCAGGAGGCTGAGGTAGGAGAATTGCCTGAACTCAGGAGGCGGAGGTTGTGGTGAGCCAAGACCGTGCCATCGCACTCCAGCCTGGGTAACAAGAGCGAAACTCCGTCTCAAAAAAAAAAAAAAAAAAAAAAAAGAACCATGGGAAAAAGTAGCCAAAATTATTTCTATACAGGAATATGGTCTACAGAATTCTAAGAGAGTTTAGAATAAAAAGGGGAATAAATCATACAATTTTAGGAAAGTGCCAAAAATAGACATTTAATTAAATATGACAAAATCTTCATTATTCAAACTTCAACTGACAGCACAGTTATGAAAGCAGAATTTTTCTCACAAAGCTTTTATACAAAGAGCAACTGGCCAGACATGGTGACGCATGCCCGTAATATTAGCACTTTGGGAGTCTGAAACAGGAGGATCACTTGAGTCCAGTAGTTCGAAATCAGCCCTGGCAACATAATTAAGACTCTGTCGCTATTAAAAAAAATTACACTTTAAAAAGGCCAGATGCAGTGGCATGGGCCTATAATCCCAGCACTTTGGGAGGCCGAGGCAGGAGGATCACTTGAGTCCAGGAGTTCGAGACTAGCCTGGGCAATATTCACTACACAAATTTTTTAAAAAAAATTAGCCAAGCATGATGGTGCATGCCTATATTGCCGGCCTGTAATCCCTACTACGGCTACTCAGGAAGCTGAAGTGAAAGGATAGTTTGACCCTGGGAGGTCTCAAGAAAAAACAACAAACAACAACAGAAAAAAGTTCCTATCAAAGACTTTCTCTTTGTACACACACTTTTAAAGTACTCTGAATTCACAGACATTCATATTTAACCTACCACAGCCTCTACTTGGCAGTAGTATCATCAACCTCTAAGTTTCAGCTTGCTCATCTGTAAAATAAACTCAAAGGCCCCTTCTGGCTCAATCATATGCTCAGAAGAAAGATTCTGTATTTAAACAAACAAACAAACAAAAAAACCCCACTAACTATCCTATCAAATCAGTGAGAATGTACACAAACATACATTATTATGACAATGTGAAAAAACATTCTCTTATTTAGAGAATGGCATATCCCAAGCAAAACCACTCAAATGTTGTATCATACTCAAGAAACCTAATTATACTAGGAATAAAAATCAACCATATCATGCAGATATCTACATGTTTCCTCAAAAGCAAGCTGTGTAGTAGAAACCATGTAGTGAAAACATCCCTAAATCAGGAATGAGAATTACTTTCTTCTCTCTGTTAGGAGCTTTTGGGGTTGTCAGTATTTAAGTCATCTGGCCTTTTTAAGCCTTGGATTCTTATCTATTTAGAGACTGGGGCAGATAATCTTGAAAGTCTATTCCAACTGTAGTGAACTCTCAAGAAAAAAAAAAACAAAGGGGTGCTTAAATGACATTCGGTTAATCATCTTAAGAGGTGCTCAGCCACATACACAACAGCCTACATACACATACACAAACACGCAGACTATTAATATATTAGAAATTGATTCCATAAATATCATTACCTCTTCAGATTTAATAGTTTTACATTAGTTATGATAGAGAGGAATTATTTCATGTAACTTTAAAATACATCAGTGTTCCTATACAGCAAAAGGAAGTCTAAAAATAAAACAAACAAAAAAAAGAGAATGAAAGACAAGTGGTTTCAGTAATCATATTGTTTGCAGCGCTGTGTTGTTATTTGAGCTGCTGTGTATTTATTATGGGATTAAAGCAGATGAGTAATTATGACGGTGTGTCATGCAACCAATCAATAACATTAGCCTTATTTATTTCATTTCACTTTTAATTTTTTAGAAATTATTCTTTTAAAACTCATTTTTATAGTCATGTAAAATATTAACATGTTCCAAAGTATACTTTATAAAAAACAAGTTTATGTAAAAAAGTCTAGGTTCTTCCCATCCTTCCATGTACTTTGAAATAAATACATGGTCTTAGAAACAGTGAAGTACAAAAACATGGCTTCTAGATTCCAGTCTTAAGGGTATGACCTTAAATTGTGACTTAATCTCTCTAAACTTACTTCCTTATGTCTAAAAAGGTGATAATAATAGAACCCAGAGGGGGGTTTCGAGGATTAAGCAAGCTCTTCTATGCACAGTACTTGGCTTTGCGAGGCCTCTGTAAGTGTCAAGCACTATTATTAAGATCTCATTTGAGAGTCATCACAAACCTGCAGCACAGACACAGATTAGGAAATGAACCTGGAGGTGCCATATCACTGGCCTGAGGCCACCATGGCACCCAACAGCCAGTTCAGGGGAAAAAGAAGTGTCTTCCCACCACGGTGACTTCAAAAGACTTACTGTATTCAGTGCATTCAGAGTGGTGTCATCCCGAGAAGCTGCGACACAGCCATCTTCTGTAGAGCCTCCGTCACACATCCCAGCAAATGCCGCCATGCTCCTTGAGAAGAAAAGGTTTTTCCTTCATTAGTACATAGTAAAATCAGGACACAGACTTACCTTCAATTTTCAGAGCACATTTCCAGCCCAGACCAAAATTCCATTTCAATATGCATGATGAACCACTTCCCAGCCCTGCCTCCTCTCCTGTTTAAAAATAAATTATATATATATATATATATATATATATTCTTTTTTTCTTTTTTTGAGACGGAGTCTTGCTCTGTCACCAGGCTGGAGTGCAGTGGCGCAACCTCAGCTCACTGTAACCTCCGCCTCCTGGGTTCAAGCGATTCTTCTGTCTCAGCCTCCCGAGTAGCTGGGACCACAGGTGCGTGCCACCACGCCCGGGTCATTTTTTTGTATTTTTAGTAGAGATGGGGTTTCACTATGTTGGCCAGGATGGTCTCGATCTCTTGACCTCGTGATCCACCCGCTTCGGCCTCCCAAAGTGCTGGGATTACAGGCGTGAGCCACCGCGCCCGGCCAATAATATATATATATTTTTTTGAGCTGGAGTCTCACTCTGTTGCCTAGGCTGGACTGCAGTGGTGCAATCTCGGCTCACTGCAACCTCCACCTCCCGGGTTCAAAGGATTCTCCTCCCTCAGCCTCCCGAGTAGCTGAGATTAAGGCACTTTATATCATGCCCAGCTATTTTTTGTATTTTTAGTAGAGACGGGGTTTCGCCTTGTTGGTCAGGCTGGTCTCGAAATTCTGACCTCAGGTGATCTGCCTGCCTTAGCCTCCCAAACTGCTGGGATTACAGGCATGAGCCACCATGCCCGGCCCAAAAATAAAATTTAATTTCCTCTCACTCATGCAGAAAGACAAATGTTACTTTTAGTCAGATCCATTGGTATTGTTTCTTCCCATGCTTTAACAGTACTAAGATTTTAGATTTGATAGCATGAAGAGCCTAAATCTATGAGCCACAATATTTCACTAGATGACAATCTTCTGAAAGAAAAGTCTCCAGAAAACATGTGAAATTAAGTCATCCAAAAATTTACTTAATTCCTCTCATTCTGCATATCAACTACATTTAGGTGAATTAAAAATTTAAAAAAATCACTGCTGGGTGTGATGGCTCATGCCTATAATCCCAGTTGGGGAGCCTGATGCAGGAGGATTGTTTGAGGCCAGGAATTCAGAATCAGCCCTGGCAACATAGGGAGACGCCATCTCCACAAAAATTTAAAAAACTATTATTAGCCAGGTGTGGTGGCACATGCCTGCAGTCCTAGCTATTGGGGAGGATAAGGTGGGAGGATCACTTGAGCCCAGGAAGTTGAGGCTGTAGTGAGTCATGATTACATCACTGCACTCCAGCTTGAGAACCTGTCTTAAAAAAAATCGTGAAAAATCAGAGCTAAAACCTCTTAGTCATTCACTCCACTTACACATTCTCATCTATACTGAATGTCACCATGCACAATGCCATTGACTAGAAAACAGCCAGGTAACTGGGGCAACATAGCAAGACCCCATCTCTACCAAAAAAAAAAATTAGAAATAGCCAGGCATGGTGGCACATGTCTGTAATCCTAGCTGCTCAGCAAGCTCAGGAGGTTAAGGCTGCAGTGAGCTACAACTAGGCCACTGTACTCCAGCCTGGGTGACAGAGCAAGACCCTGTTAAAAAAAAAAAAAAATACATATATATATATATATATATATATATATATGTGTATGTATGTGTGTGTACATATATATATATATATATATGTATGTATGTATATATATACTCCATTGCACTCCAGCCTGGGTAACAAGAGCGAAACTCCGTCTCAAAAAAAAAAAAAAAAAGATGAGCTGAATAACTCAAGTACTCCACTGGATTGAGAGGTTTTGAACTGCATATATGGCTTAAGCTGTTTTCCTCTTGAAAAGTTCCAAAATTTGATGTGGGGCAAACACTGGCAAGAAAAAAATTACTTCATCATGATAAACTATTTTTCTCTGGTAAGTAGAGCCAGGGCCCTGATTACAGAGGGTGTAACCAAACTTAAAGTCAGAGAATGCCCAATATAGAAATAAAATCCCTGGGGAGAGGGAATGTTTACTGCCTATAATCAGTTCAGATGGCCTAATTCAGAAAGCAGGATGGGGTAGATTCCTATTACCTTGCTGCTCTCAAGTACATAAGGAGGTCACAGTCATTAACTCCAGGCATCCAGACCAGTTCCTCATGTTGGGTCACTGTGTCACCATCTGGAGAAGGAAATGGTTGCAAATCTGGAAGTTTGGCCTGTAAGACAGGGACGGGTAAGTCACAATTGAGGAATGTATTAATTATAAAGAGCTATTGCAATAGGCAGTCTTTAGGAACAGATACAATGTTTTACTGAGCCTCTTTCCTCTGACAACAGAAAAATAACAGCAAAACCACAAGTCATGTAAACTGACCATTTTGAAGGTCAGGATCATTTCACTATAGAAGATTTGACAATAAACTGCTTAATATCTGCTTAACAGTGTCAAAGTAAACCAGTGCCGGCATGATACCAAGAGTAAAACAGAAGCATACACATATGCATAAAATAAATAAACAAATTTAAAAAAAGCAAAGAATGCCTTTAGATGATAACAGCTATTTGATAAAAAAGGGAAACACACATACATTTCCAATATAACAAGCTGACAAAGAAGACATATGCAAATGTTGAAACGTCACCTAAGAATATTTGGAAAAAACTAAGAGAGCTATCCTATTAGAATAGTGTTACTCTCAAGACAGTCAATAGCAATATAAGTCATGGTCAATACCAAAAAAAGATGAGGTATTAAAGTTAGCATTAAAAAATATAGTTTAGGCCATGGTGGAACATGCCTGAGATCATGCCACTCCACTCCAGCCTGGGTGACAGAATGAAACTCTATCTCAAAAAAAAATAAATAAATAAGTAAAATAAAAAATATAGTTGAGGCCGGGCATGGCGGCTTACACCTGTAATCCCAGCAGTTTGGGAGGCCGAGGCAGGTGGATCACCTGACGTCAGGAGTTCAAGACCCAGACTGGCCAACATGGTAAAATCCCATCTCTACTAATAACACAAACGTTAGCTGGGCACAGTGGCAGGCACCTGTAATCCCAGCTACTTGGGTGGCTGACACAGGAGAACTGATTAAACCCGGGAGGTGGAGGCTGTGGTGAGCTAAGATCGCACCACTGCACTCTAGCCTAGGCAACAGAGCCAAACTCCATCTCAAAAAAAAAAAAAAAAAAGAAAGAAAGAAAGAAAAAATTATATATTTATGTGTGTGTATGTGTGTATATGTATATGTATATGTATATGTATATGTATATACATAGTTGAATTGACCTGTGCTGATAGAAATCAGGGTAGTGGTTGCTTCTAGAAAGGAGGAATTCTTGTGAAGGAGCAAGAAGGACCTTTTCCGGGATGACAGAAATGTTCTGTGTCTTTATACGAATCATCAAGACAGATTGAAAAGCATACATAATATATAAACAATTTGCTGTATGTAGAGCATACCTCAATAAAAAGAATTTTAAAACATATTTGAGCAACAGTGCTCCTCACCAAGACTCTAAGTCATCAGATTTAAATACTTGTGGCATTTTCTCACCCACACTCTGCTGGACAGAGCAAGGGCAAGCAGGTGCCATGACCACCATAACCAGCAGAGACCTGTGAAAAATCAGACATTTGCAAGAGGCACATGTTCTCATCCTGTCAAATGATGAATGTGCATACACCAGTCTGATAAAGCTCCATGGTACACAAAGCCTAAACAAAAGATTTAATGAATGCAGCAGGCTGAAGGTAAGTCAGCACCATCCAACAGAAATAAAAACTATATAATTTAAAATATTCTAGTAGTCACGTTAAACAAAATGCCATATCCCAATCTGGACTAGCCATCTTCCAAGTACTGAACAGCCATGTGTGGCAGTGGCTCCTAACCTGGATGTGCAGGTATTATGTACTCAAGAGTGAAGTGAACCATGGTGAAATGGAGACAGAGCTGCCCCATCCAGGGAATGCTGCCACACAGGAATGGGAACCAGTGTCTGTTCATCCTCCAACTTTTTCCAAATTCCAGAAATCTTCACTTTTATGTAAAATTTGTGGTTTTAAGTGTCGGTTATTCAAGTTTTTGAGGCAACTGTACAATAAAACATCACATCAGCAGGCCACGTGGCTCTCAGGCTAGCAGTCAGTACCAACACGGCCTTACAGGCTATCTTCCATCTCTCTAAATGTATATCAAGCTCACTTTCTCCAAGCAAGGATATTCTTCTTTGGTTAAGTAGTGACTTCTATAACATCAAACCGAGTGCCGCAATTAGTTCTGCTTAATACATAGTGAAAATAGTGGGATAAAATTAAAACACAATCGGCTGGACGTGGTGGTTCACGCCTGTAATCCCAGCACTTTGGGAGGCCAAGTTGGGCAGTTCACCTGAGGTCAGGAGTTCAAGACCAGCCTGACTAACAGGGTGGAACTCCATCTCTATTACAAATACAAAAATTAGCCAGGCATGGTGGCACAAACCTATAGTCCCAGCTACTTGGAAGGCTGAAGCAGGAGAGTTGCTTGAACCTGGTAGGCAGAGGTTCTGGTGAGCTGAGACTGCACCACTGCACTCCAGCCTGGATGACAGAGTGAGACTCTGTCTCGGGAAAATAATAATAATAATAATGAAAACACAATAGATGTTGGTATTAAAAGTTCTTTGACACTAGTGCTGAGCTCTGTTTCCCCAGCACCAAGTACAGTACTGGGTACAGCAGTTCTCTAATGTTTGTTAAATTAATTGAAAAGTACTATTATTGGGAGGAGAACCAATCTTCCCCATCCTCAAGGAAAATGGACTAGAAATATAATTAGATAGTTTACAGAAAAAGAAACACAAATGCCTCTTAATCATAGAAATTGATGAGTCAATCTCATTGACAATAGAAATGTAAATTAATGGCACATATTCAAGTACCCATCTATCATACTGACATAAATCCAAATGTCTGACAATACAGAAAGCCATGAAAAAAATTAACACTCATATTAGTTGCTAGTGTGAACACAAACTGATACAATCTCCATGCAGAGGAATGTGGCAACACCCTCAAAATTATACATGCACTTGTCCTCTAAGTCAACCATCCCCCTCCTGGGGATACAGCCCAAAGATACACTGAAAAAAACATAAAAATGTATATGCGCAGGCTATTCATTGAAGCACTACATGTAATGACAAACGACTGGAATCAACTCATATGCCCATCAATAGGGATTAGGTGAATAAACTGCTACATTCATAAATGGAGTTCTACGAAATAGTATTATAAAAGGGAATGAGAAGGAGCTCTACATATTGCTATGAGGAAAACACAAGAATATATTGTTAGAAGAAAGAAAGGTGGCAAAAAGGATGTATATTATGTTACTATTTATCTAAGAAGGGGCAGAGGGAATGAAAATAAGAAGCTTAAATAATAACAATCTCATTAAAACTGTAAACCAAATGGAAAAAATGCAACCACTGAGCTGGTTCCACTCTAGGAACTGTTTCCAGTAACTCTAAGATACATTAATTTGCGCCGGGCGCGGTGGCTCAAGCCTGTAATCCCAGCACTTTGGGAGGCCGAGGCGGGTGGATCACGAGGTCAAGAGATCGAGACCATCCTGGTCAACATGGTGAAACCCCATCTCTACTAAAAATACAAAAAATCAGCTGGGCATGGTGGCGTGTGCCTGTAATCCCAGCTACTCAGGAGGCTGAGGCAGGAGAATTGCCTGAACCCGGGAGGCGGAGGTTGCGGTGAGCCGAGATCGCGCCATTGCACTCCAGCCTGGGTAACAAGAGCGAAACTCCGTCTCAAAAAAAAAAAAAAAAAAAGATACATTAATTTGCTTATATAGCTCTGGCAGGATATACAACACAAAATGCAATACTAAACTGTTTTCAGTAAGCATACTGTTTGTAGCAGTGTGATTATGGTTATTCTGGGCTATATACGCATCACGGAATTGAAGCAAATAAATAATTTTGTTGGTGTCATTAAAAATGGGATATGAGACATGGGAAGAAGATAAAGATATAGATGAAATAAGAACAGAATTAGTATAAAGGCCATATGAAAATCTGAATTTGAATTGGAAATATCAGTATGAATTTATAATGTATTTTATCTTTAAGAAAGAAGGCCAGGCGCACCTATAGCCCCAGGTACTTGGGAGGCTCAGGCGGGAGGATCATCTGAGGTCGGGAGTTCGGGATCAACCTGACCAACACGGAGAAACCCCGTCTCTACTAAAAAGAAAAAATACGAAATTATCCAGGCGTGGTGGCGCATGCATGACTGCAATCCTAGCTACTTGGGAGACTGAGGTGGGACAATCACTTCAACCCAGGAGGTAGAGGTTGCCGTGAGCCGAGATCGCATCACTGTACTCCAGCCTGGGCAACAAAGGTGAAACTCGGTCTCAAAAAACAAAGAAAAAAAGAAAAAGGAAAAGAGAAAGAAAAAAGAAAAGTAAGTAGGAAAAGAAAATGCCTATTTCCTATTCTGTCTACTGAAAAGGCCTAGTAACAGCAACCAACCCAGTGAGAACAAATATCCTGGCACTCAGTATGTAAATGCCACTTCCCACTACAAAAAAAGTGGACTCTTCTGACACAAGTTTAATTCCAGATCCAGGGAAGACAATGTATAAGGTGAGGCATTAAAATCATGTCTTACCAGAGAAAAAGGATTATGTGAAAAGGACAAAACCCCTGGGATAAAGTGAAAAGGAAAAATACCGCAGGAAGATGCTCTTACTGGCCCAAGATGGATCATTTAATCATCAATAAGAACAGATTAAAGTTTGATTATAGATTAAAAAATAATCTTAAACCCACTGGTAACCATTGAAAGATAATGGTGACGTTTCATTTATTTGTATGATGAACAAATGAAGGGATGGTAGAATTAGAATATCACCATCTTGAAATTCCTAATAATGGATCTAAGAAACAATCAGTGGCTGCTAATTACAGTTAAAAAAGAGACATATAAGCCTCCTGGTAGAAGTACATACCACCATCCAGGAAGCTTTTTTCCAGAAGGCAGGGTACCAAACTAGACTGCAACCGAACCTCTAGATTTAACTACTAATTCTCAAGTCATGCAAAGAAGGAGGTAACAAATTTAATGCAATCAGCAAAATCTAGACTATAGAACACCCTACAGGATGAAATAGCTTCTTTACCACATACACTGGAGGTCTGGGGAAAGGACCTGTGAATTCAGAGAGACTTAAGAGATGTATCAACCAACTACAATGAATGGCTCTTATTTAGATTCTAATTCGAACTATGAAAATATAAAGAAAGAGCGAAAGATACAGACAACTGGGGAAATCTGGGCATAGTAGGCACTTGAGTATTATGAATTTGTGTATGTTGTGATATAATGTATCCAAAGCCCTTATCTTTGGAACATCTACAATGAAAATGATGTATTTGTGAGGCATTTAAAATAACGGCAGGAGGAGGTAAGAGGGGGTATAAATGAAATAGGTTTGACTAGGATTTAATGCTTGTGGAAGATGAGTAATGAAGGACTTTATCATATTATTCTTTCCCTGCTTTTGTATATGTTAGTATTTTCCCTAATAAAAAGGTTTATTTTTTATTATTATTATTATTATTATTATTATTATTATTGAGACAGTCTGGTTCTGGCACCCAGGCTGGAGTGCAATGGTGTGTTCTTGGCTCAGTGCTGCCTCAACCGTCTAGGCTAAAGCAATCTTCCCACCTCAGCCTCCTGAGTGGCTAGGACTACAGACATATACCACCATGCCCACCTAATTTTTGTATTTTTTGTAGAGATGGGGTTTTGTCATGTTGCCCAGGCTGTCTCAAATTCCTGAGCTCAAGTGATCTGCCCACCTTGGCCTTCTAAAGTGCTGGGATTATAGGCGGAAGCCAAAAGTCAAAAATTTTAAAAAGGTAAATGTTGCCAATTAGTTTGTAAGAGTTCTATTATTTTTGGTGCTCCAAAATACTTCTTTCTGAAAATGAAGCACATTTAAAATCTGATGTAAAAACCGAACATCTGATTTTAAATGGCAGTATACAAAAATCCAATCACAGTAAATCTGCCCCTTTTCCAAGAATGTAAGCAACTTTTCCTTAGGAACTACATTTTCTTTTATGGTAGGTAAAAAAATCTATAAAATAAAAGTCTGGTACAAAGATCTCAAGACACCGGAAATACATAGTGAGACAGAAAAAAATGGGTAGTAAAATACAGTGCAAGAGAAAGCAGAGAATGGGAGATGAAACTGAGTAGCACTAGGTGAGTACAAATTCCCAGATTGAAAATACTGCCCCGAGGTGGCAGTCAGGTACACCTGATGGAACACACCACCACCAAGACTCTGCTTGAACAAGCAGACACTGTCCTCCTGCAGCTTCTGTCTGTCGGTATCAGTTACAACCCCAGGTTTGGGATGAAAAGCATCTTCATTACACTACATGACCCTGGGAGTTTTTGTGTTCACTTCACTTAATTTCTTTCATGACAGAGTTAAAACAGGTTTGACTAGGATTTGATACTTGTGGAAACTGAGTAATGAATAGAAGGACTTTATTGTATTATTATTTCCCTGCTTTTGTATATGTTAATATTTTCCCTTAAAAGGTTATTTTTATTTTTACTTTTTTGAGACAGTCTGGTTCTGTTCCCCAGGCTGGACACACAAGAACTGCTCAAAATCTAGACAGAAATAATGAATAACTAGATAGAAGACTGAAATCTCTATGCACTTCCAAGGCTCACTGCTGCCTGCATCCTATGTCTTTAGACATGATGGCCTTAGCTGTGGACTCCCCAGCATTTATTCCAACTCAAGTACTAATCATGCTAAACCTTTTCCTCATGGTTTATAAATAGACACATGACCCAATCTATGGCAACAACATTTGAGTCTACCAGGGACATGCCGGGGAAATTTTCCTTCCTCCTAAGAGGAAAGTGGGTCTACCAGGGACATGCTGGGGAAATTTTCCTTGCTCCTAGGGAAAAGAAGTCGAATTCCTTTCTTCCTCTCAGCACTTGCTATATTTCATTAATTGTAAGAGTCACTGTTATTTTATGTGCATTGAGAAAGGATGAAATGCAGCCAATAAATTATAACCACACCACAGAATGTACAATGAAGCCCAACATAGAGAGCAAATGTGAAGGAAAAAAAGTGTATCTTAGAATTAGTCAAACTGAGCTAAGGATGACACCACCTCCATGGAGCCCAGCTGGGTACAACAGTCTCAGAGAAGCACAGCAAAGCCCCCCTGACATGGGAGACAGAAACAGAGCCAGAGTCCTGCCAGTGAAAGCATCCTGATACTGAGATCAAAACAGAATGAGCTGGGCCCAGTGGCACATGCCTTTAGTCCCAGCTTCTCAGAGGGCTGAGGCAGGTTGGACTGCTTCAGTCCAGGAGGAGGGCAAGGCTGCAGTGAGCCATGATCGTGCCTCTGTGCTCTAGCCTTAGAAACAGAGTGAGACCCTGTCTCCAAAAGAAAAACAACAACAACAACAACAAAAAAACCACAGAGAGCTGTAGTAAATGCAATGAAATATGAAACGGCAACAGTCATGACACAGCAACCCTCTGACTGAAAAGTATCCTAACCATCTTGACTATCTTGAAGGAAAAGAGGTTTATGGGTTTTTGTTTGTTTGTTTGTCTGCTTTTTGCGGGAGGGAGATGGAGTCTCACTCTGTCGCCCAGGTTGGAATGCAGTGGTGCAATCTCAGCTCACTGCAACCTCTGCTCCCTGGGATCAGGCGATTCTCCTGCTTCAGCCTCCTGAGTAGCTGGGATTACAGGCACACACCAACACGCCTGGCTAATTTTTGTATATTTACATCTTGAGCCAGAGTTTCACCATCTTGGCCAGGCTCATCTCAAACACCAGAGCTCCTGACCTCAGGTGATCCATCTGCCTTGGTCTCCCAAAGTACTGAGATTACAGGTGTGAGCCACCACAGCCAGCTGGGAAAGAGGTTTTAAACATCCTTCTGTTTGTTTGTTTGAGTTGGAGTCTTGCTCTGCTGCCCACATTGAAGTACAGTGTCTGCAATCTCAGCTCACTGCAACCTCTGCCTCCTGGATCAAATGATTTTCCTGTCAGCCTCCCAAGAAGCTGGCATTACAGGCGCCTGCCGCCATACCCAGCTAATTTTTGTATTTTTAGTAGAAATGGGGTTTTGCTATGTTGGCCAGGTTGGTCTCAAACTCCTGACCTCAAGTGAGCTGCCTGTCTCAACCTCTCAAAGTGCTGGGATTACAGGCATAAGCCACTGTGCCTGGCTTTAAAAATCTTTTTAATAAAAATATGCGATCAAGTGTTGAGTGGATGAATGGATAAACAAACTGTCATACATACATACAATGGGTCATTTGGCCTTAAAAAGGACGGAAATTTTGTTAGAATGGCGTTCATTAGAAAATCGGGAGACAACAGATGCTGGAGAGGATGTGGAGAAATAGGAACACTCTTAACACAGTTTGTGGGAGTGTAAATTAGTTCAACCATTGTGGAAGACAGTGTGGCGATTTCTCAAGGATCTAGAAATAGAAATTCCATTTGACCCAGCAATCCCACTATTGGGTATATACCCAAAGAACTATAAATCATTCTACTATAAAGACACATGCACACGTATGTTCATTGCAGCCCTGTGTACAATAGCAAAGACCTGGAACCAACCCAAATGCCCATCAATGATAGACTGGACAAAGAAAATGTGGTACATATACACCATGGAATACTACACAGCCATAAAAAACGATGAGTTTGTGTCCTTTGTAGGGAGTTGGATGAATCTGGAAACCATCATTCTCAGCAAACTGACACAAGAACAGAAAGCCAAGCACCGTATGTTCTCCCTCATAGAAGGGTGTTGAACAATGAGAACACATGGACTCAGGGAGAGAAGCATCACACACAGGGGATAGTTGGGGGGTGGGTGGGGAGGGAGGGGAGGGATAACATGGGGAGAAATGCCAGATATAGTATGCACCTAAAGTAAAATAAATAAATTATTTAAAAAAAAAAAAAAAAAAAAGGGACAAATTCTGACACATGCTATTAACATGGATGAACTGCAAGGACATTATGCTGAGTGAAATAAATCAGGCACAAGGCCGGGCGCGGTGGCTCACGCCTGTAATCCCAGCACTTTGGGAGGCCGAGGCGGGTGGATCACGAGGTCAAGAGATCGAGACCATCCTGGTCAACATGGTGAAACTCCGTCTCTACTAAAAAGTACAAAAAATTAGCTGGGCATGGTGGTGCGTGCCTGTAATCCCAGCGACTCAGGAGGCTGAGGCAGGAGAATTGCCTGAACCCAGGAGGCGGAGGTTGCGGTGAGCCGAGATCGCGCCGTTGCACTCCAGCCTGGGTAACGTGAGTGAAACTCCGTCTCAAAAAAAAAAAAAAAAAAAAAAAAAAATCAGGCACAAAAAGACAAACACTGTTTGATTCCACTCATATGAGGTGTTTTTATGAGGCAGGACAATCAAAGAGGGAGGAAGTACAATGGCGGTTGCCAGTGCTGCAGGAGAGGGGAAATGGAGTTACTGTTTAGGGGTACAGAGTTTCAGCTTTGTAAGACAGAAAGAGTTCTGGAATTGGATGATGGTGATGGCTACACGACAGTATTAATGTAAATACTACAGAACTGTGCATTTACAAATGGGAGATGGTAGATTTTACTTCATGTATATATTTCAGAACAATTTTTTTTAATGTATGTGGTGATTTGGGGGAAAAAAATCTCTGTATTTATACAAAATTCCTTATAGCAGTAACAAACAGTTCTAAGATGCTGCTCAACAGAATAAAGTGCCAGCAGAATAATAAGAAACAAAAACCTATTAAAACTAAAGATGCTATGAAAATGAACCTTACCTGATGACTAGGACCAACACGAATCTCCCCCTGGGTACTGTTCAGCCTCCTGGAACAGAAATAGAATGGATTAAGTTAGCACAATATAGTTTTGACATAAACATTCACTCATTTTTCAAAAAACAGTAATTCACTTCAAATAAATGAGGAAAACTGGAGGAAGAATGCACGTCCCACTACTTCTGATGTTCTCCTGTGTACATATACCACCCACCACTATACACACCTCTACAACCTTTTTCCTTTGAAAATCCTAAGGACTACAGTTTCCTTTCGTGAGAAACTTCCTATACCATCATTCTTTTTTTGAGACAGAATCTTGCTTTGTCGCCCAGGCTGGAGTGCAGCTGCACAATCTGGGCTCACTGCAACCTCCACCTCCTGGGTTCAAGTGATTCTCCTGACTCAGCCTCCCCAAGTAGCTGGGATTTCAGGTGCCTACCACCACACCCAGCTAATTTTTGTAATTTTAGTGGTAAATTTTAGTAATTTTAATAATTTGGGATTTCGTCATTTTCAGGCCAGGCTGGTCTTAAACTCCTGATCTCAAGGGATCTGCCCACCTCAGCCTCCCAAAGTGCTGGGATTATAGCCGCGAACCACTGCGCTTGGCCCCTATACCATTATTCTCTCATGCCTCTGAGAGATGGACATTCCTGCAGTACAATTCCAGTCAGACATTTCCTCTTCTCAAGACATGTCAGGGTGCCCTACCATATGCCTTATAAAATACAATTGAGAAAACTTATCCTAGGACACATACTGGGTCATTCATTCATCAAATATTTAAGTACCTATTATAAGCCAGGAATTGTCCTAGGTGTTGGGGATAAGGCAACAAATAGGGACAGGCAGGGTGACTCACATCTGTAATATCCTAGCACTTTGGGAGGCCAAGGAGGGAGGATCACTTGAGCTGAGAGGTTTAAGACCAGTCTGAGCAACAGAGAGTGATATCATCTCTACAAAAACTTTAAAAATTAGATGGGCATGGTGGCACCCCCCTGTAGACCCAGCTACTCAGGAGGATTGCTTGAGCCTGGGAGGTCAAAGCTGCCGTAAGCCACGTTCACACTGCACTCCAGCCTGGGCAACAGAGCATGGCCCTGTCTACAAAAGAGGCAACAAACAAAACAGAAGACGAAGAAGAGGAAGAAATGTGGTGGTCCAGTCCTCAAGAGTCTTACAATCCTCCAGCTGGGAGGAAGCATCCATATCAAAACACCAGAACAGGCCAATGCCCATATTCATCAACCTAAGACACTTCAGAAGACACAGTAAAAAATGTAAAGGGGAGGTACCAAAATGAGGCAGCCTTCAAGAGTAGACACAGAAGGAGATAATAAGCCAACAGCAGGAAAAAAAGGGGACTTTCCAAGTAGAAATGAAAGCATGCAGAGGTGGCAGGTTGAAAGGGAGGGGCTGTGACAGGGAAATGCTTGCATGAGGGCTGACTTCATCATACAAGTCATCTTCATTAGGAGAATGGCATGTGGAAAAAAGAAGCTAAAAGATGGATTGTTCTAATAGGTTTACAGGAAATGGAAGAAGCTGTTTTAGGAGGTATGTAGAGGAATCAAATCAGCCACAAGTTATTTTAATCACAAGCGCTTCTTTAAGAAAAACAAGCAGTCAGTGTTACTGCTATTTTCCCTTCCAACTTGTCCCTTTCTATTTTCTAACTAGCTGTGAGCAAAACAAGCTGCCAAAAGTTCTCTCCTTTATTTCTAAATACTTTCCAAATGTGGTATTCCCTACAAGTAGACCTAGCCAGAATGTATCATTTCAGAAACCCTCTGCCACAGCCCATTCGGTAACTTGTGCCTACGGCTTAACCTTCTTCAGGTTCTTCCAGAAGGTTTGTTAGTCTAGAGTTCTCAAGTGGTTGGATATCATTTCCATGTCACTGCTACACTGACTCTTAAGTCCTTGACAATTCCCGAACAAACATTCTTGTTCCATTTTTATTTTATTTTGGAGATGCAGTCTTGCTATGCTGCCCAGTCTGGTCTCAAATCCCTGGCTCAAGAGATCCCCTCCTCAGCCTCCCAAAGCACTGGAATTACAGACACGAGCCACCGCACTCACCCTCCAACCCCATTTTTATTTTAATAAGCCAATATTATTATTATATTTAGCTCAAAACCATAACGAAACAAACGCCCAAATACCCTGTTGACTAGAACTACTTATATTTCATGTATTTCCATAAAAATAGGAGTCAGATAGTTATTAATAAACTAGTGATAGAAATGAGACAAAAAAATGTATTGGACCATCTTAAGATACTTGAAAAGTGTTTACATCAGGGAAGAGTACTGATAAGTAGGCTATATAACATGAAAACCAAGGTAAAATAAAGAACCTCCTTAAAAGCTTATTTAGAAATCCCTCTTTATGACGAAAGTATTGTTTTTGTTTTGTTTTGTTTTGAGACGGAGTCTTGCTCTGTCACCAGGCTAGAGTACACTGGCATGATCTTGGCTCACTGTAACCTCCAACTCCCTGGTTTAAGTGATTCTCCTGCCTCAGCCTCCCGAATAGCTGGGTTACAGGCATGTGCCACCACGCTTAGCTAATTTTTGTATTTTTAGTAAAGACAGGGTTTCACCATGTTGGCTAGGATGGTCTTGATCTCCGAACCTCGTGATCTGCCCACCTCAGCCTCCCAAAGTGCTGGGATTACAGGCGTGAGCCACTGTGCCTGGCCTACTACAAAAGTATTTTAAAATTGTACGCAACTTTTAAATATCAGGGTTCTGTAGCAAGGAATATAACAAAGTTCTTTTTGAACAGGTAGGATCTGAGGTGCAGACAATGGCATCAGCCTACCATATGCAAGAGTTACAGAATATAGAATAAATGGTAAAAGTACTTTTTAGGTCCAAGATATAAAGAGGCAGATAGCAACATATGCCATTAGAGAAAGTTTGATGCATCTGACAGAAAAACTGTCACAAGAATAAGAACTGAAGATAAAGGACAAGAAGTACACATGGTGGGGAATTGCCAGCATTCAGCTGTGTCTGGAATCCACTGAGCAATCAGAATCCTCCTTACTGAACTAAGTATCTCTCCCCTGCTGCGCACTGCTCTCTTCTCTTTTTTTCCTGTATCCCCAGACAGCTACAATACCCTTGATAGGTCAGGCAGCTACAACACCCCAGAATGTTTCCCTGGCAGATGGAAAAAGCATCCCCATGAGGCTGCAGCCAGGTGCAAAGTGAGTCTGTGAATTGCTCCCTTCTTGAATGCACCCTTTGTGGTTCATATATCTTAGAAGAATCTAGTACGGCATCTGCCTATCATTATCTATTCAATTAGGAATAGCTAAAAGTTCCTTGGTTGCATGAATGTTTCTGGACTACTAATTCACCAGAAATTAATATTTAAACATAATATCAACAGCTTGTAGGAAGCCCTCTTAATCATCAATTGCAAACTTAATGCAATTACTACATTTTGTCTTTGACTTAACACAGCATTTCTCAAACTTTTAGGCTTCTGGACCCTTTCACACTCTTAAAAATTACTGGAGTGTGTCTTCGTGGTCCCAGAATCTGTCTCTTGTTTCAACGATGTTTGGACAGCACATACCCTGGGACTCCATCTCTTCCAGCCTCCAACTGCCCTCTAATCTCCTCTCCATTTGCCACCTCCAAGACCCTCCTTCTTGGCTACCTCCTCTTCTGGGACCAGCCACCACTGTGTTTGCAGTTATCTCCTCATTGCTGACCAACCACAAGCTCTTAGATTCTTCAGAATTATCCCATCGAGGTGGCGGCTGCCATCAACCACCTGGTCAATTTGCATTTATGGACATCTTACACCCATCTCTCTCTGAGCTTCTATTTCAACCATAATGATGTGGCTCTGGTAAGCATGGACCACTTCTTCCATAAATTGGCCAATGAGAAGCTTCAGGGTACTGAGTGTCTCTTGAAGACGTGTGTGGCAGCAGCACCCATTTCCAGGATGTGCAGAAGCCGTCTCAAGATGAGTGGGGGTAAAAACCCTGGGTGCCACGGAAGCCACCATGGCCCTGGGGAAGAACCTGAACCAGACCCTCTGGATCTTTAGGCCCGGGGGTCTGCCTGCACAGACCCCCATCTCTGTGGCTTTCTGAGAGCCATTTGCTAGATGAGGAGATGAACCTCAACAAGATCGGCGACTACCTGACCAACCTCCCCAGGCTGGGCTGGGTAAGTATCTCTTCCAAAAGACTCACCATCAAGCACCACTAGGAGCCTACAGAGCCCAGCAACCTTTAGGAGCCCCTCTCATAGTATCAGGGCTTCTGCCTAAGCAGCTCCTCCAGCCACTACCCTGAACCCCTCCCCCAAGCCTTGGACAAAATGGAAATAAAGCTTATTGTAAAAAAATAAAAATAAAAATTACTGAACATCCCAAGGAATTTAAATTTTTTTTAACTTTCAAAATACTTATTTATTTAGAAAGCAATAAGCCCATTACATAACAACTTGCATATTCTTATAAAAAGTAATTGCGCCGGGCGCCGTGGCTCAAGCCTGTAATCCCAGCACTTTGGGAGGCCGAGGCGGGTGGATCACGAGGTCAAGAGATCGAGACCATCCTGGTCAACATGGTGAAACCCCGTTTCTACTAAAAATACAAAAAAAAAAAAAAATTAGCTGAGCATGGTGGTGCATGCCTGTAATCCCAGCTACTCAGGAGGCTGAGGCAGGAGAATTGCCTGAACCCAGGAGGCGGAGGTTGCGGTGAGTCGAGATTGCGCCATTGCACTCCAGCCTGGGTAACAAGAGCGAAACTCCGTCTCAAGAAGGAAGGAAAAAAAAAAAAAAAAATCACAGATGCACAACACCTAGCTAGCCTGATAACATCACACAGCTATTTATTTGCCGGGTACGGTGGCTCAAGCCTGTAATCCTAGCACTTTGGCAGGTCGAGGCGGGTGGATCACGAGGTCAGGAGATTGAGACCATCCTGGCCAACATGGTGAAAACCCGTCTCTACTAAAAATACAAAACATCAGCTGGGCATGGTGGCGCGTGCCTGTAATCTTAGCTA